CCTCGGGGCACCCCTGCTGCTGCTTCCTGGGAGTGTTAGGGGATTGCTGGTGACTGGAGAGGCTGGGGATCCCCAGGGCCTGAGGAACATGGGAAAACTTTGAAAACCTGGTTGCATTGGAAGGCCTGGGGACATTTGGAGACCTTGACGTGTTGGGGGAGGGTGCTATGGGTACTTGGAGATCTGGGGGCACTGGCAGACCATCGGTCATTTGGAAACCTGAGTTGGAAAACACTGATCATTCATAGGCTCTTGTAGTCAGTTCTTCAGCCTTGAATAACTTCTAATACAGGTGACTGTGCTCCACCCTGGGAACAGAAATTTATATAAAATATAATTTATTAGCATGGTGGTGGTGGTGCATGCCTTTAATTCCAGCTCTCAGAAGCAGAGGCAAGTGGATCTCTGTGAGTTTGAGGCCAGCCTGGTCTACAGAGTGAGTTCCAGGACATCCAAGACTACACAGAGAAACTCTGTCTCGAATAAACAAAAGAGAACAACAACAATAATTGTGTGTGTATGTGTGTGTGTGTGTGTGTGTGTGTGTGTGTGTGTGTGTGTGTGTGTGTGTGTGTGTGTGTGTGTGTGTGTGTGTGTGTGTGTTTGTGTCTATAGCAGGTGGCACTATCAGAAGGTTCTAGAAACCAGAAAGTGGGGTCTGGTTTGGAGAAAGTCGTCATTTCCTTCATATGCCTTTGCAGATTATACCTGTACTCCGGTCTCCATCTATGATTTCTAGCTTCTATGAATTGGATCCTCTGTACACTCCTGTTGACATCATGTTCTGCACAAGCCCCTGAGGCTAAGGCGGAGTAATTAATTTTGGATTGAACCTTCTGAACCACGTGCCAAAGTCTTCCTGCTGTAGACTTGTTACTGCTGGGCACTTGGTTACAGCGGTGATGTCTTGTTTTTACTATCTTGCAGCCTTGCCAGCTGTGCATGGAGAAGAAGAAACCACCCCAAAGCAGACTGTCTCTGATGAAGAAACATCCCATGGAGTGAAGATGGGGGGCTTGGCAAGAGAGGATCCTTGGCTCTCTTCTTGTGAAGAAGTTCCTGCTCCTAAGGAACAGTTGAAGAAACAACAGGAAAAGCAAGAGGAAGAGGCCTTTACCCAGGGGAGAGCTGACACTCCTGGCATGGTCTACAGGCCTGACGATCTTGACAGGAGTTGCCTGAGTTCTAGCCGGCTTTCATCCCCCATGATACCTCACAGAAACCATTTTCATAAACAGGCATCACATGTTAAAAAGTTACATGGCGATGCTGTTGCAAACAATCATCAGAAGATGAGTGATACTATAGATCTCTCCAAAGATGACAAATGCGGAAATGTCCCTCAGAGCATTCATCTCACTCAGTTTACAAGGACCCCAAAAGGAGATAAATCCTATGAATTGAATGGCCGTGTTCAATCTTTTGGCCGTGGTACACCCCTCAATGTACATGATAAAGTTCGTATAGAAGGTAAAACCTTTGGCTTTAAAGGGCACGGGCAAGTTTTGAACCATAACATATCCCTAAGTGAACAACCGAGGATTCTTGTTAAAGAGGGCCAGTATAAATGTAGTAAAACTGCCCCAGGTCCATCTCTTCCTCAGAACATGAGAAACTATTCTGAAGAGAAACGTTTTGAATGTAAGTATTGTGGCAAGTCCTTCAGTTGGAGTTCACATCTCATTGCACACCAAAGAACTCATACAGGGGAGAAGCCTTACAAATGCAACCTGTGTGGAAAGTTCTTTACCCGGAGTTCACATGTCGTTTCTCATCAGAGAATTCATACCGGAGAGAAACCATACAGATGCAATCTGTGTGGGAAATCCTTTACCCAGAGGTATGTTCTTGTGGTGCATCAAAGAACTCATACCGGCGAGCGGCCTTATGAATGCAACCAGTGTGGGAAGTCATTCAGGCAAAGCTACAAACTTATTGCACATCAAAGGACTCATACCGGAGAGAAGCCATACGAATGCACTCAGTGTGGGAAGTCATTCATCCAGAGTTATAAACTTATCGCACATCAGAAAATTCACTCTGGAGAGAAACCATATGAATGCAGTCACTGTGGGAAGTCCTTTAGTCAGAGCTATAAGCTTGTTGCACATCAGCGGACTCACACGGGAGAGAAACCTTTTGAGTGTAATTACTGTGGGAAGTCCTTCAGCTGGAGCTCTCAGCTGGTGTCCCATCAGAGGACACACACAGGAGAGAAACCGTATGAGTGCGGCGAGTGTGGGAAGTCGTTCAATCGCAGTTCCCATCTTGTCATGCATCAAAGAACGCACACCGGAGAGAAGCCGTATCAGTGTAAGCAGTGTGGGAAGTCCTTCAGTCAGAGCTACGTTCTGGTCGTCCATCAGAGGACACACACTGGAGAGAAGCCCTACGAGTGCAGCCAGTGTGGGAAGACCTTCAGGCAGAGCTCCTGCTTCACGCAGCATCAGAGAACTCACACTGGAGAGAAGCCCTATGAGTGCAACCAGTGTGGGAAGACGTTCAGCCTCAGTGCCCGGCTCATTGTCCACCAGCGAACTCATACTGGGGAGAAACCTTACAAATGCAGCCAGTGTGGGAAAGCGTTTATTAGCAGTTCTAAGCGCAGTAGGCATCAGGCTACACACAGTGAGGAGTCCTGTAAGTCCTGACTAGTTCAGAGTCTGAGCTCAAGTTCACTCCTGTCAGTCCAGCCTCTGTTACACCGGGGGGAAGGATGCACACAGACCCTTTCAGTACCCCTGTGCTGCTGGCAGAGAGGAGTAGGCTTTTAGTTTGACAGGTGAGGATACGTGGCCCCCGGAGAAGAAAAGCTGTGAGGCGCCCGCAGAGGAGCTCTCTTGCGTGGCTCTGTGCAGGCGTCATCCGTCAGCTCGTCTCAGAAGCCTGCCTGCTGACTGGTAGAAGCGGCTCCCCAAAGCACTTGAGAAGGCAGAAGCTAGCCCCAGAGGAGTTGGAATTAGAGTAAATGAGCTTAGTTCAGATGCCCTCTTGTTTGAGAGTTCTGGGTTGGGCCTCGAGACGTGGCTTCTCTGTTGTAAAGCTGGCACTCTGTGAGTGTAGCTCAGAAGGTGTGCTAGAACACCCAGACTTCAGAAGCTGTGCGCCGCAGGCCATCAGGAAGCACTCCCAACTTCCTGTGTCTTCCCCTTCGTGCTGCTGGCTCACTGAGCCATGTTCTCGCACCTCATCTCCCCACCCAGAATCCCCATGCCTGTTCACTGCAGGCAGACGAGCTTTTCAATCCATCACTCACACAGGCTTGAGCAGTCAGGCTCCAGTCATAGCCCAAGGGTAAACTCACTCTGGCATACCCTCCCGTCATGTTTCAGGAGCTGCTTTTCCATCTCAACGAAGCTTTCTTTGCTCTTCTGCAAACCTCACTAGTTACTCCTTTCAATCCAGAGATAACAGGAGCCACTGTCTCAGAGTGACAGGTGGCCATTGAGTTTCCAGGGCCCTAGTCCTCTGAGCTAAGCTCATCTGAGCCAAGAAATAGGCTCCATCGCGCTCAAAGCCCCCACACCATTGCTATGTATGCTGACCTCGAGCTGCAGATTTTTGGAAATTCACACCCAAAACCCATCACTAGTGAGGCTGAATCAAGATGATTGTAAGTTCAATGTAGCCTGCGTTACATAGCAAGATTGTCTCAAAGAAAAAGAAAAAACAAACGATCTTTGTGTGTGTGTGCTCCTGCAAACAATAAATGTTGCTGCTTTTCCATGAAGAAAGCACTCAGATCTGAATTTCAGATAAACTAAATCTAAAACCAAAGGCCTTTCCCAAAAAGTCTAAGTGAAATGCTGACTGTAGTGAATGTGTGGTGATGACTCATAGGGTTATTGTTTTTATAATGTAATATTGGGAAACAATATTTGACCATGTCAATCTGCATAATTTCCCTGATGGTTATTTTGTAATTTGATTATACACTTCTGTAACCAGTGAAGATTTTCTACTGTGAAGGCAAAACTGATATGAAATGAAATACTTGCCAAGAGTATAGAGAATCTCTGGAAGAGCCTTGGTAAATGTTTGTGTAGCTTGAAGTTGGAAAGGGATCATGGTTCTATTTATTTGATACTGTTGTTCATGTTGTCATCTTTTGGAGATGCATGTTGTACTATAACCAATGGTACAGGAATAAAAATTGATGAGAAGCAACAAAGAAACAGATCTCCCTCTTGTTTGAGCTTTTAAAGAATGGCTAACTATGCACTGTGGGGCTTGCAGATTTCCGTTCATCTCAGCCTGCACCAGTCACCCTCTTTGGGATGCTCAAAGTGAAAGTGTTTCATTGGCAAGGATGACTTCCACTATCAAGCGCCCTGTTTGAGAGGAAGTGGGCTCATCCACTTCCATTTCTGAGCAGTGTTAAGGAGCACTCTGGCAGTGTTACTCTCCCCTGGAATCCTGTGGTGGAGTTTGCAGAGTGAGGGAATGAGGCTGGGGAGATGAGCCACTGTTCTTGCTGGATTCAGTTCTCAGCACCCACGTTGTAACCTCACAACCATCCATAACTGCAGTTCCAGAGATGCAGCGCCCTTTTCTGACCTCCCTGGGTACTAGGCCCACATGTGGTGCACAGACGCACATGTGAGCAAAGCACTCATACACGTGAATAAACATTTTAAAACCCAGGAATGCATTTTTCAGGCAAGCTTTGTAGTTCCTGTTTGAGGTGGTTCTCCCCCCATCCCGTTTGTTTATTGTGGAGGGATACATGACATGCACATGGAGTTACACAGCAACTTAATTTTTTATTTTTTGTTTTCAAGACAGGTTTTCTCTGTTTAGCCCAGGCTATCCTGGAAAACTAGCCCAGGCTGGCCTCGAACTCACAGAGATCCGCCTACCTCTGCCTCCGGAGTGCTGGGATCAAAGGCGTGCGCCACCACCTCTCAGCACAACTCATCAACCTCAGGTCATTGGACTTGGTGGTAAGTGCCTTTACCCAAATGAGCCATCTTACTGTCCCTTGATTTTTTTTTTTTCTGTGTGTCTGTTCTGATCTTTATCCCTAAATGATGAATTTTATCCCTGTAAATTACTGTGTGTCTGAAGCCTTGATCTCAGAAAAGTATTATTATTACTATTATTGAGAAAAAGTTTTTCTTATAGCCCTAGCTGTCCTGGAACTCACTCTGTAGACCAAGCTGTCCTCAAACTCAGAGATCCACCTGCCTCTGCCTTCTAAGTGCTGGGATTAAAGGCGTGCACCTCCGCTGCCCAGCTCAGAAAAGTAGTTCCTAAAACGAGGTGGAGAATTGAGCTGAAGGCCCAGAGTAGAGTTCCTTTGGAACAAATAATTTTGAAACTTTGAAATCATCAGTGTTCTGATCTGTAGCCTGTCTGGCTTTCTATTAATTTATATGAGCATAGTTCTTGCAAGACCTAGCATGCCTAGTGAAAACATGCACTGTTATTTAGATGTGTGAATTCCCTGAAATAGGAAAAAGAAACCCAAAGTTCTGGCTGCTAAAGGTTACTGTGAGTACAATTTCCTCCCCAGGGGACGACTCCCCAGGGGATGAGTAGTGGTTCTCAACCTGTGGGGCTCGACCCCTTAGAGGTCACCTAAGGTCATGGGGAAAAAAGATGTTTGCATTACAATTCATAACAGCAAAATTACAGTTATGAAGTAGCAATGAAAACAGTTTTATAGTTGGAGGTAACCACAACATGAGGAGCAATATTAAAGGGGTGAAGCATGAAGGCTGAGAACCACTGGTCTAGAGAGTCCTCTGACAGAATGATCTAAGCTTGCCTTGTCTGTAAGTCGTTTCGGGGGAACTGACACCCTCTTTTGGCTTCCTTGGGCACTACACTCACTCACATGGTGAGTACACACACACACACACACACACACACACACACACACACACACACACCTGTGCATGTACTTAAAATTATTGATTCATTTCTTTTGTATAACTTGGTTTTCTTATCTGAGAGACCCCCACCCCAGTTCCCCCTAAGGCCCAGAGAGCTGAGGAAAGGGACATTTTTAAATAGCCAGAACCGAGTCAGTTCCCCATTCCCAGACAGGGTGAAGTCAGAAGTTTTAAAAGTACAAAATCAGACTGTCTGGTTACTAACCACGAGACGACCCCCTCACCCGAGATAAGATGACCAAATTTTGGAGATGGGCTGTAAAACTCCTGACAGAGCAAAAAATAAGATAAAGTCCAAGCTCAGGAAAACTGGACCAATCAAGGGTGGACCCATACTAACCCCCTCCTCTCTGAAGGATTTTGTGGTTTTTGCCTTCAAAAGCTAACCTCCCCAAGGAAGAGGAACTCTCCTCCCTGCCTCGCTGGGCACTGCAGACGAGGGTTCCTTGCTAGCTCATATTGCACTGAGAAGTAAACCTTGCTATTGCATTCTGGATATCTTTGGTCTCTGGTGGTCTCTTTGGGGGTCCTAATCTGGGCAGAACATTCTCCTCTCTGTATTCCAAGTCCCTCCATGCTCTTTCTATAGGAGAACCTCTTAGACTGGGTGGGTGGCAGCTCTGTTGGGTTTGCTTTGCTTGAGTTTACTTGAGTGTCACGTTTTGGAAAGTTTTCCTTTTCCAAGATTACAAAGAGGGTGAAGGTTGGAGAGCTGAAGGTGAGAAGCGGTCGGTAGAATTGTTTCAGACTAAGAATCCCCAAACTCAGGTGACCATGCAAATGATCTCGAAGGGAAGGAAGCCCAGTGGCTGGAAAGACTTTCCTGTAGCCCAGAAGTCCCACACAGTCCCTGACGCTCTCTAGAAAGGCATTGTTTAACACACAGCCCCCCACAGAAAGGTGGGTAAGCTTCGTGGTTAGAAAATTTTTGTCTTCAGGGACGCTAAAGACGTTGTTCCGGACCTCGACATTGTGATATTTAGCTTACTTTCTTGATGGCTGTACTTCTGCTCCAGAGAAGTGACGAGAGCACTCTGAGAATTCTGGGATATGTAGTCCACAACACTCCCAACCCCGGGATACTAGGATAACTCCCGCCGTAGGAGGCTTAGAGGTCCGCCCTACCGGTCGGGAATTTTGGGAAATGTAGTCCGGGGATCCCCGGTGTTCAAGGATAACTTCCTCTGCACGAGTCTCTGTGTTGTCCCTGCTCCCCTCGGGAATTCTGGGAAGTGTAGTCCAGGCGGCCTGTGCGGGAGTCACTTCTGCCTCAGGTGTGCGAGGCCCCGGCCCGTGTTCCTCTCAGAAAGGTGAGCCCTCCCTCCGCTGTCCCCTCCCGCGTCTGCCCGAGACTTTTCAGGTTGCCCTGGGGGATGGCCACCAGGCGTGCATCCTGGGGAAGGAAAGCGGCCTCAGAAGGGCGGGACGCAGAGTTTGCTTTGAACGCGGCTGCCCGAGGGTGCCGCGCTTGCGCACACCGACTCAGGCCAGGCCAGGGGCTGTCACTCACCTGGATGGAGGGTCTCCTGGGCGTGGGCGCCCCCGCCGTCTCCCTAGCCGCTGTCAGCGATGCCATCCCCCAGCCGTGGCGTTCACGATCTCCATCCCTGCCTCCGTTTCTTCCTCAACACTTTGGTACCCATCCAAGAGTGGTTTTGAGTTTCCTGCAAGGCTCAGAACAGCTGGCGCGGCAGCAGATGGGCCGTTTTGCTGTTAGTGCTTTCCAAATGTCGGAGAAGCACCCTGGTCCCTGGAAGCTCCAGCGACCCACAGATGGTCTCAGAGCCCCCGCTGTAGGGTCGCTGGCCCCAGCCTGACCCCTTTACCCAAATCCTTCATGACTCAGTTTGGTTTTTTGTTGAGACGATCGCTCCCAGCTGTTGCCTAAAGTGTCCACTGTGACTTATGGGGGCCGGGGTTGATGAGGTCCGGTTTCTCTCCGCATCTTGCCTTCCTGATCCAATGTTTGAAAAAGGCCGCAGCGGGAAGGGGCAGCCGAGAACGTGGTGTAGTAGTAGCTTGAATGAGAAATGACCCCATGGCCTCTGGCCTCTTGGATATTTGGTCCACAGTTGGGGGTGGTGTGTGCTGTTTGCAGCCTTGCTGGAGGACATAGGTCACGGGGACGGTTGTGGGTGGGGAGGGTCTGGCTCTGAGGACGTAAGGTCTTATCTTGCTGCGGTTTGGTTTGCTGTCTCTGCTGTGTGCTCTGGGTTCAAGCCGGGAGCTCTCAGCTCCCTGCTCCTGTTGCTCCCCCTACCATTATGGAGCCCTCTGGAACCGAAAGCCAAAATAAACGCCTTCTTCTGCAAGCTGCCTTTAGTCATGGTGTTTTATCACAGCAACAGAGAAGTGACTAATACACATGGGTAGAATTTAGCATCCTTCCTTCTCGGTACCCTCTCTTCTCAGGGGCGATGGTGTTTGTACTCATGGACAGATCTGGTTATGAAGCTGCCCAAGTATTTTTTGAGTAAATTCTAGAAGGGGTGAGGAAATACTTGGACATAAGCAATAAGGATGTTATATAAGCATTTAATGTTAAATATTGTAAGGGTTTTATACAAATTAACAAATTCAGCTTCACAGAGAATGATGGTGTGGAACCATCATTCTCATTTATTCATTTTTATTGCATCTATTTAAGGAAAAAATAAAGTCTGTTTTTTAAAACTTAGATAAAAATTCACTTAATCTACCAAAAAAAGAAAGATATAGCTGGGCAGTGGTGGCCCATGCCTTTAATCCCAGCACTCGGGAGGCAGAAGCAGGCGGATCTCTGTGAGTCCGAGGCCAGCCTGGGCTACAGAGGGAGATCCAGGACAGCCATTATACAGAAAAAAAAAAATATTTTCATTACATCCTATGTACATAGATAATTTTATTTCCATACAATCTACATATTTTTCTTAATTTGATGTACAGTCATTTCTACAGTCTTGTGAACTAGGCACGGTGAGATGGCTCAGCAGGTAAAGGCAGGTGCCACCAAGCCTGATGTCCGAGTTTGATCCCCGGGACCCTCATGATAAAAGAAGAGAATTGCTATAACATGCATATACCTGCCCACCCACAAATAAATAAATACTAAGTGGAATTGGAGCTGGAGAGATGGCTCAGTGACAAACAGGGCTTGCTGTTCTTACAGAGGACCCCAGGTTCAGGTCCCATAACCCACAGGTGGTTCACAACTGTAACTTCAGTTTCCGGGGACTCACTGACCTCTGGGGACACTGCGTGCTGTGGGCAAATAGACAAGCAGGCGTACACGTAGTAGTAAATAAAAATAAAAATATGAAGTGCAACATTGAAGTCCTCAACACTTATAGTAAAAAATAATAGTAATTTAAAAAATTACATGTGCAGGGCCCTAGGTGCAACCCCTAGTGCTGTGAGAGAGAAAAGGCATAAAATGTACCTTTCTTAGCTAGAGATTCTTCGTGTCTGTAGTGGAGCACATACAACCCCCCAAAAAGGTTCTGCATTTCACAAGCAGTTTTAAAATGGTAGTATTAAACATGCTGTGGGACCATTGAGATGGCTGGAAAAGGGCACCTGTGGGAAAGGCACCTGCTGCCAACCCTGCCAACCTGAGTTCAATACCCAGGACCCTCATGGTGGAAGGAGAGAACCAACCCCTGCAAGTTGCCTTCTGACCTCCATACACATGCTGTGGTGTGCACATGGCCACATAATAAGCAAGTAAAATTTAATTTTAACAAACTGAAATACACACTGTGAACAGTTAGCTGTGTTTGTTGCAACTCAAGGTCAACCACTAAAGGCAAACAGAAATTCTGGTGCTAGAGCCAGAGGTAAAATGAACGAAATGGTAAAAATCAATCAATAACAAACAACCACAAATGTGAAAGCAGACATGGAGTCAGAGGGATAAAGACAGCGAGGACAAATCACAAGAAGAATGCAATGGTGAGCCCAGCCACATCCAGCCACATCAGTAGCCACAGGATGCCACTTACTCTGCTTTTTCATCTGTTGCTATGATAAAATACTCTGACGAAAAGCAGCATGGAAAGGGAAGAGTTTATTTCAGCTTACAGTTCCAGTCAGGGTCCGTCGGTGTGGAGAAGTCAGAGCAGGAACGTGAAGCAGCTGGCTTCACACCCAGAGTTAAGAGCAGAAGAAGTGTATGCACGCGTGCTTACTGGCTTGTTTGCTTGTGCTCAGCTCAGTTTCTCTGCTCTTCTCCAGTTCAGAACCCCTTGCCTAGGGAATAGTGCCTCCCACAGTGGGCTGGGTCTTACCACACCAGTCAGTTAAGATATGCCCACATGTGGGCTGGAGAGATGGCTCAGAGGTTAAGAGCACTGGCTGTTCTTCCAGAGGTCCTGAGTTCAACTCCCAGCACCCACATGGGGGCTCTCAACCATCTATAATGGTTTCTGATGCCCTCTTCTGGCATGCAGGCATATGTGCAGACAGAGCACTCATACCTAAAAAAAATACATAAACAAAATTAAGAAAAAAATAAGATACACCCACATACTAAGGTAGATGATCATTTATTGAGATTATGTTTCCATGTGATTTTAGGTTGTGTCAAATTGATAATGAAAGCCAACCATCACACTAATAAATCAAATACATCGTTTACAAAGATTACAGATTGGGGGCTAGTCATGGTGGCACACGCCTTTTATCCCAGGACTTAGAACATACCATCAGATCTCTGTGAATTCCAAACCGTGTGTGTGTGTGTGTGTGTGTGTGTGTGTGTGTGTGTGTGTGTGTGTATACATAAAGCAAGAGTCTAGTATAAGCTGTCTGAAAGAACTTCATTTTAGATACAAGGACAGAGTTAAGTTAAAAATTTAGCCAGGTGGTGGTGATTAAAAGCACAGGCTTTTAATCCCAACACTTTGGAGACAGAAGCAGGAGGATCTCAGAGTTCAAGGCCAGCCTTGTCTACAGAGTGAGTTCCAGGACAGCCAGGGCTACACAGAGAAATCCTGTCTCCAAAAACCAAAACCAAACCAACCAAACAAACAAAAAACCTACAACAAAAAAACTAAAGCCAAAATAAAACAAACAAAAAAAAAACCCAAACAAACAAAACTCAAAACAGTTAAAAGTTAAAAGTAAAAAGATTAGACAGGCTGTATTAGGCTTTTTCTTTTTGGGCCACCAATCAGCTCCCAAGTCATGACATGGACAGAGACCTATTATTAGTTATGAATGCTCAGCCTGGCTAGCTCCTTTAACTTAAATTAACCTGTTTCTCTTTATCTACCTTTGCCTTGGGGCTTTTTACCTTTCTTACCTCTGTGTGTCCTACTGTCACTGCTTCTCCATGGCTGGCCTCTGCCTGGCTTCTTGCCCTGCGTGTCCCTCCTTTTCTCCCTCATTCTCTTCTCCTTCTCTTGTTCCTTCCAAGCCTAGATTCCTCCTCCTATTTATTCTCTCTGCCTCCCAGCCCTGCCTGTCCCTCTCCTGCCTAGCTATTGGCCATTCAGCTCTTCATTAGACCAATCAGGTGCCTTAGACAGGCAAGGTGAAACAAATGCAACACAGCTTTACATAATTAAACAAATTCAGCATAAACAAAAGTAACACATCCTTGCCCAATTAAATTAATATTCTACAACAGCAGGTAGATCTCTTGAGTTTGAGGCCAGCCTGGTCTACAGAGTGAGTTCCAGGGCAGCTGGGGCTACACAGAGAAACCCTGTCTCAAAAACAAACAAACAAAGAAAGAAAGAAAGAAAAAAAAAAACAAAAACCAGGAAAAATTTGAAAAGATTAAAGAGAAAGACACATTTATGGTTTGAATCAGTAGTGTCCCCCACTGGCTCGTGTGTTTTAACACTTGGTTGCTGGCTGTTGGCACTATTTTGGGAGGTTGTGGAACCTTTGAGCTATGGGGATTTATCGGGTGGAAATTGGTCAAGGTGGATGGGCCTGAACACTGTAGGTGGAGTTTCTCTGTGTCTTGGCAGCTGCTCCCAAATAACCACACAACTTAATATTAAATGTAAATGTTCAGCTGATAGCTCAGGCTTATTACTAACTAGCTCTTACAACTTAAATTAACCCATTTATATTAATCTGCATTCTGCCACATGGCATTACCTCTCTTTCATTTTGTACCTCCTGTTTCCTCTCTGTATCTGGCAAACCATAGTTGAAAGTTTTCCTGTCTCAACTGCCTGCTCCCAAATGATCACTTGGAGGTTTACTATAAATTATAAATGCTTGGCCAATAGCTCAGGTTTATTACTAACTAGCTCTTATGTTTTAAGTTAAGCCATATTCTTTATTTATGCTCTGCCATGTGGCAGTACCTTTATTAGCATGGCATGTTCATCTTCTCCCTCTACATCTGCTGACTCCTTTCCCTGTGCCCTCCTTTTCCCAATCATTCTCAGTTTGGCTTTCCCACCTAACTTCCTGCCCAGCTACCGGCCTGTCAGCTTTTTATTAACCAATGAGAGTAATATACATTCACAGTGTACAGAAGGACTATTCCACAGCAGCTGGCGACTCCTCCAACTCCACCCTTCTTCCCAGCATTCTCTCTTCCCCCAAAATCCTGCCTACCTATCGGCCAGTCAGCTTTTTATTAAGAATGAGAGAAATACATATTTACAGTGTACAAATGTCATTCTACAGGAGAACACTGCAACCTGTTCACTCTAACCTGAGGCATCTCCACATGCATGCCCCACCATGCCTTTTCAACAACACTGCATGACACAGAGCTCAGATACAGCTTCTCTGCTCCCAAGTCAGGTGTCTGGTCACAGTAGACAAACGAAGAAGGAACCAACACACAGGCGGAGCACGGAGTGGTTTCATTAACAGCAGACACAGGAGGCTTCCAGACTGTTGCCAGCTGTGGCCCCTGCCACAGTGCACCATGGGTCAGTTTGCCAGCTAGACATGACAGATACGACAACCCCAAATGCACAATCACAAAACATCGCATGAATGAAAGACAACAGACCCAAGAGATTGCAGCACTCTTCTCAGTGAACAATGCAACAAGTATACTGAAAACCAATACAGATATAAAGGCCAGAAAAGTA